AGCATAAGCCCTCCCCTCTTTCCCCTGTAAGTGTTTTAAGGCGAGACACATTACCACCAGCTCCCTGGAGCCGAACAAAGAGTTAATGGAAGCCATTACATGTCAAGATCCCTTTGCTCATTCTCCTTCTCCTTTCCTTCCCTGGATACCCTTCCCATAAAAGATACTGACTGCTACAGGAACGATCACCCATGATGCCATTACTGCCACAGCATTTTTATCACTGTTACCTCCCAACAACATATAGGAGTAGTCGCTGGGGTGCTCAGGAAGCCCCACCAACCCTGAAAGTTCTGGCTGCATCAGGAACATGCAAGAGCTGACTCCACACCCTGGGTGTGGATGTTCATACACCTTCTCTGGAAAACTAGGAACAAACTTGCTCTGAATGGATTTATGTTTCTTTTACCCAGCAGCAAGCTCATACCTGCCCCAAGTGCGGACATGGAGCATGCCTCAAGGCAATGCTGGTTTGTTTTAGCAGGAAGGGAATGCAGCAGCCCAAGGTGGAGGGGGAACAAGGAAGCTTGCAAGAGCCTGGAGGACTCAGAGATGACCCTGCCCACATATTTGACTTGTTCCTGTAACCCTCTTTCCCAGGTTTCCAGAAGGAAGCAGACTCCCTCTTGTCGGTGACCAAACTCAGCATCATTAGTGACTCCCAGAACATGAGCAAAGCCCGGGACATCCTGTTAAAGCTGTCTGAAGAGACAAACATCTTCCCGACCAGCTGGGAGCTTTCTGAGCGCTACCTCTTTGTGGTGGTGAGTAGGTCTGAGTGTGCCTTCCTCCCCTCCTGCCCCCATCTCTGCAAGCGAGCTCAGATGAAGGGGAGCGGATAGGTGGACTGCACCAGAGGACCCTCAAGTACATGGTGGCATCTGGGGCATGCCCATCAGATGTTGTACTGGGAGCTTGGCCGTTCAGCTTCCTTGGAAATGTGAGTGCTGTTGCACCATAAAGTTGTTCCCCAAAGTTCCTTTAAGCCTGCGTCACTGGGTGCTTGCAGAGCCTGTTAATGAAATGGGAAAAGATTAGACCTAATGCTGGCTTAACCTGAGAGCAGGCACGGAGGGAGGACCGTGACCAGGGAGCTGCCCAAAGCAGCCTGTAGTGACTGCCCAATCCCATTGCCTTGGCAGGATCGGCTCATAGCTCTGGACGCCGCGGACGAGTTCTTCAAGATGGCCAGTGTCGTGTATCCGAAAAGCCCCGCCGGCGGGGAGAGAGCGGACGACGGCCAGAAGGCCCCGCAGCCTGTCTCTGCCCTGATGCCCTGAGGAACGTGCCTCGCTGGCGTGAGACGGACAGCAGGTCTCCTTCCCTCCAGGACCAGGCTCCTCTGCCGAGGGCTTAGCACAAGTGGCGCGGCTCCTCGTCCTCCTGCAGAGAAGCGAGCGGGCCAGCCGGAGCAGAGCGAGGAGGCCAGCGGGCCGTGCCCAGCGGGAGGGCGAGGCCGGGCAG